TTTTTTTTTTTTCTCGTACAACCATTTGTTTCGCTCTAAATTTTATTAATTCAAAAAAAAAAAAAAAAGTTTTTTATTCACTTTTAAAATTACCACTGAAATTTGTTTGGTGAAAAGAAGGAAAATATTGGACAAAAAAAAATTGTATATAAATCGCTGTAGCACTTTTTTTTTTTTTAACTTTTCTGTCTCAATTTATAAACCTTTACATACAATGCCTAATATGTGGCAAACCCACACACACACACACACACACACACAGAAAGTAAACGGTATAACATGTATAAGTAAGTTAGTTCAGACTTATTCATTTTTTTGAACTCACTTAGAACATATAGTCACAAGAAAAATTTCTTTTTCACTTACCACTGTTCTGCATGAGTCGCTTCCAAAAGCCAACTGGAAAGAAAACAGTAGAAGACGTGTTCTATAATAATAGTACTGAACTGCCTTTAAAGATGTTTCTAATCTTTAAAGCTGAAGACGGAGAAGACAAAAAGAAAAGTTTTTTTTTCAAAGCACTAGAAGGAAGAAATTGTTGAATAAATTTTTGCCTATTCAGAATTTCAAAAGTATAATTTTTTTTTTTTCTTGTTTTGTTTTGATATTGATTCAACTGACGTAAATTTGGGATGGAGAAAAGGCGAAGAAAGAGCATGAGAAGGAAAAAGGCGTTGAAGCCTAAATCAATGATAGCCATAGAAATGCGTCCTGTCTATGTGGGCTTAGTCATATGTCTGTGGCGAACATCTGTTCAATCCCGATGCAAATTTGTACAAATATGTTTATATGTCTGTTCGTTAATCCAGTAAAATTGTACCTGAAAGGTTAATTTGTTTAAACTGAAGCAGTAATACCCACATAAGGATTGGTTACCAGATGTAATTAAGTGGTAAAGTGCTTTAGAGAGGTAATCGGAGTGATAAACTGCTTAACAGAAAGAAAATTTACACAAATAACTATAGCTGATATCTGATTTTTCGAAGGAGGCAGGCTGCTGTTGAAATTACGTATATCGTTGGCACAGTAATCTGATTTCGATATGATGGTGCCTGTCTTCGGCTTTCTCAGTGCCGACTGTTATTTTATCGTTAAAGTGGATACTGAGCGGTAAAGAAGATAGTTGAGATGAAAGAAAGAAAAAAAAAGAGTACACAAGAAGACTTTTCATTGTTTTTAGTCGTTTTTTTTGCTCTTGATTTTTTAGTTTTGTTTTACTAATAATTTTTTTTTACGGCGGATATCCTAATGACATAATAAAAACAAACAACAACTATATAGCACATGATTATATGTTATCACGCAGTTAAACCGAGTGCGCTTTTCGCACATGTTCTTTATGTATTAAGAATCTGTTATTTCGTAAACTCAGTTTTTTCTCCTGCTTTCTTTCCTCTGTATTCTTCCTCATAAACTTTTCACACTTAAATAGTTTTTAAGAAAAGAAAAAGAAAAAATCCAATTCTGGTTATGTAAACACACAAGAACACAAAGCTTCAGAATTGCTATTTGATATTTATACAGGTAATCATCATCTTTAGCAGTTGCTGCAGTATCAGTTAGGACTGATACACTTCATCTGATTAGTCATCCAGTATACGTACATTTTTGATATACAGTTGCCTAGGCATTTCTTTTTACTTTGTTTTTTTTTAACGATTAGCTTATCTCCGAATTATCAATACATATATCAGGTTTTATAATTACGTCAAACATACAAAAAAAAAAAGCAGAAAAGAAAGTAAAAAAGAGAAAAAAATTGACCACAAAAAAACATGCTATTTGCTCTGATTTCATTAATGAGATCGACATGCAGTTCGAAAGATTACTGAGCTTTCACTGCACTACCAATGACAAACAACTTTATGGTTTCATATTTTTGTTACTATGGTAAAGGGACTCCAGAGGGAAAAAAGGCAGAGAGAAAGAAAATTAGGAGGTAATTGACGCTGGTGTTATGCATATAATATTCTTTGGTTGATTCCTCTTATATCCTTCGTGCAGTTTTTGAACAACACGTGAAACGACCGTGCCGGCCTCTTTGAATCGCATATATACGGCAGTGCTGTTGGCACTTTTGTCCATTCGCTCGGTTGCCGCTCACAGCGAATTGCATTAGTGTTGTTGTTTGCTGGTGGCGGTTGCGGCTAGGCCTCCTTCTGGCGTCCGACATTGTAGGCTTTTTCCGTCAGGCCGCGTCTGCAGAAAGCTTGTCGTCGTCTGCTTTTTCTTCAGTTATTTTAGTCTTTTATTCAGTTTGCGAAGGTTTACTGGTTATAATATATTCGTTGCTTACGAATCGTTTGATTTTTTTTTTCTTCTTGTTATTTGGTTATTTCCTAAGTTATCATTATTGTTGTTCCGTAACTTTGATGGATATTGTCTGTTACTAATGAGTAATTTGATTGCTAATTGCAGAATCTGTTTAGGACGACCAAAACGATGGTTTCGCTTGGTAGCAAGATCTTTTTAGCTAGGTAGTTATTGTTTCGTTTTTATGGTTTTATGTTTTTATGATTTTTACTTCCTCATTAAACTTGCTTTAAAGAAAGCAAATCCAGATATTTTTATTCCGATTTGGTAGCATCGTTTTTAAAATTTTTGTATGGATAACCAGTAAAAGTACTGCTGACATTATTCAGAAAATGATATGGATTAAGTAGTATATAAAGCATCGGAATAAAGTGTGTGTAAATATTAGTCTATTTTGAAGATGGGCGGTTTTTTCCTTTTCATTTGTTGTAATGTCTGTTAACAGTACACTTTTTCTCGTTATCCGTACAGTCGATTCGTTTTTGATTTCTATCCATTTTGAAATTTTACAGACAGTTATTTTTTTGCAGGCAGTTTTGCGTATATCTTGGCGAATTC